GCACGTGCGGGCGCACGAACGTGCGGGGGCCTAATGTCAACCTCATCCCTGCCGCGCTACACACATACACCTGATGCGCTGCGGTTGAGACCAGAATGGAGCACATTGCATGTAGAGCCGCACATCCCAGCCCTGCACCACTGACACATACCGCTACCTGGTGGCCGGCACTACTGATAATTGCACCTGATACCCGGCTCCGCCGGCACAGCACATCCGGCCTCGCCGATACAGCACATCTGGTCCGCCGATACAGCACATCTGTACCGCCGATCACCAAATCTGGTCCCGCCGATACAGCACATGGTCCCGTCAATACAGCACACCTGGTCCCGCCGATACAGTACATATGGTCCCGTCAATACAGCACATCTGGTCCCGCCGATACACACACATCTGTCCCGTCAATACACACACTGGTCCCGTCATACAGCACATGTGGTCCCGTCAATACCACATCTGGTCCCGCCGATACAGCACATGTCCCGTCAATACAGCACATCTGGTCCCGCCGATACAGTACATCTGGTCCCGTCAATACAGCACATCTGGTCCCGCCGATACACATATGGTCCCGTCAATACAGCATATCTGGTCCCGCCGATACAGTACATATGGTCCCGTCAATACAGTACATCTGGTCCCGTCAATACAGCACATCTGGTCCCACCGAAACAGCACATATAATGTCCAGCCCCGTCGATACAGCACGCCTGCAGCCCGGCCCCGCCAACACACTACACTCGATGGGGCGCTATACTGACCAGCATGTGGTCCGGCACGGCGTAGCCGGCGATCTTCTTCCGCACGTCGGCGCGCAGCACCTGCTTGATGTGCTCGTCCGTCTCCGCGACGCCCTCCTTCAGGATGATGAAGGCGTACAGGCCCTCTCCCTTCAGCTCGTGCGGGAAGCCGACCACGGCCGTCTCGGCCACCGGCTCGTACTCGTCCTGCGGCGCCGCGGGACGGCTCGTCACGCGCCGCCGCGGGCCGGCTGTTCGGTCGACAGCCGGGCGCTGGGTAGATGCGCACGCGGAAGGGGCAGGGGGCGGACAGAAACAAAGCCTGGGACGGCACGCACCACCATAACCACCAACAGGCAGATCATACGCGCGTTGCGGCAGGGTGTAAGGGAACACACCATAGGTACATATGGGGATAACAAAAGATACTTGATCGAAGCCTACGAAGTCCCGACTCATATTAACTATCACGGCATGTTGTAAAGCGCTGATAGACACAGGCAATCGGTTGCAAAGGGCTTTCACTTCCCGCGCGATAGAGTTGACACTGCATGCACGTGCGGACAACGCAAACACCAGCCAGCCACTCCCATTACAGTCAGCACAAACAGCCCTCGTGCAACGGGTTTCCGCCAGCATGTCTGAGCACCGCTCCCGTCCACGTCACCGGTCCGGCCGAGGCGCACTGACCATGACATCCTCGACCTCGGCGGTGCCCAGCCGGTGGCCCGTCACGTTGATGACGTCGTCCATGCGGCCGGTGATCTGGTAGTAGCCGCCCGGGTGTCTGGACGGGCAGCGGACGACACGGACTGAGCGGCGACGCCGGACCGACACATACGCCACCGCACTACGCTCGCGCGGGCTTAGAGGGGGGCGAGGCTATGGAGTGGACGGAACAACCCGGTCCGGGGCATTGGGGACGGCGGCGATTTAGTTGCAACGTTTGAAGTCACGTGGTCACGTGGTCCGATCACGTGACCCGTGACGAAAGTGAGGGGTTAACCGGCTACAAGCGTGGCGTCACAGAATACCTCAACCCTCGCTTGACAAGGGACGAACCTGACGCCCTCTCCCCCCCCCCCCCCCCTCCCCTGTGAGGCTTCTGAACGACGTTTTCACCCGCGTGAACTTCAAGGAACACATCAGTGGTGCCCCACCAGGGCAAAAACGGCAAACCTGAACGGTGTATTTCATGTGCTTCAAATGCAAATCCCTTGACTAGTTCGGATGGTAATGCCGCGGTTACGGTGAACTGTCAATGTCACGACAAACGAGCATCGCTATGAACTAGGCCAGAGCGGCAGCTATTGACGCCTCTACATCCCGTTGACTCCCGTCAGCACTGTGACGGTCGACGGGTCATCATCGCTAACTGTGACGGCCGACTCATCGCAACTGACAACGGTAACAGGGGGTATCCGAGTCCACCTTCAGACTTCTCTCACGAATTAGAATGCGACTGTGTTTGAATTTTTGCGCCGGAAATGCGTCACGTTTGTATGTGAACAATGGATCAACCAGTCACACTGCTCAGGACAAACACTACCGCCCCGAGGCTCAGTCCAGCGTCAAAAATATTCACGGCGTCGGATGAGCTGTTAATCCATCTGTTCCTTGCTGGCGTCATCGGGACCGCCTCCTACAAGCAGCACCCCGGCAGCTAGCGGCGGACGCCAAGCGGTCGCCGGAGAACCGCGCGCCCGTCTCTGTTGTCGTCCCGTGTTCACGGCGCTGAGCGAAACCCCTGGCTGGATGCGACGCCCCGGCCCGGGAGAACCGACCAGCAGCCACCGACGCCGTGGCTCGGCGCTCCACCCGCCGCCGCACATTGGTCGTTGCCCTGTCAGGTGGGCCGCCCACCAAAGCGCGCGCCGCTGGTGCAGCTCCCCCACGTCGCAGGCATGCCAGGGCGACCCCACACAGCGATCGGCGTGTGCGCATGCGCGGACACGCCGGCAGCGGCCACACAGACGGGCAGGTTGGGGAGGACGAGGGCCGCAGTGTTACGGGCGCCAGGTCAGTGACATGACACGCCACCATGCCAACGTTCACAGGGTGGTTCAGTCACACACGCACACGCCCGCACACCCCACGGCGTTACGCCGACAGGCAGAGCGTTCTCTACAAACGCCCACCATGTTAAAACAGACAGGCGGACGTCACACCCCGACACACGCGGCTCCCACCAGCCCGGTCCCACGGCGGCCGGAGCGGTGCCCCACCTGTGCGCGCCGTCGCCTGTGTAGTAGTAGCCGGGCGTCGGCTTCAAGTAGGTCTCCACGTAGCGCTGGTGCGAGCCGTAGATGGTGCGTGCCATGCCCGGCCAGGGTCGCTTCAGGCAGAGCGCACCCGACGCGTCGTCGCCCGCGATCTCGTTGCTCTGGAGCGTGGCGCGGGTCAGGTCAGGTCAGTCGGATTAGCCCGCAGCCGGTCGCCGGGCTCCACTCCAGCACTCAGCCATTCGTCGGAAGGCCGGACGCTGCACAATGAGACGCTCAGTTATGCCAGTGACGGCTGGTCATGAAGCACGTGCAGAACACCGCCCGATTCTACAGCAGACACGAACGCCAGGAAACTGCACGTCACACGGACGTGACGCGGATGTCCCCCGTGATCATCATGCACGAAGAGAGCGTGACGCGAAACGGGCCCCACCTATCGCCGCTTGTGATCCCCAGCTGCTGCAAACCCCGCGCCCATCCCATCGCGTGCTGCTGGATAAGGGTCGTAAGGCGCTCCGATAACTCATTCCGTCCTCCTCCCCCGCCCCCCCCCCCAAAAAAAAATCATCGAGTAATGTTGCTCATGTGCACGGCAGGGGCTGCTGGGTGCGGCGCGTCAGCGGTCGGTCGGCGGCGTACCTTCTCGTCGAGCAGCACGGGCTCGATGCCGTACATGGGCCGCATGGGCATGCCGGGACGATCTCGGCGCCGGCCTCCGACGGCCTCGGCGCCAGACAGACGCCGCCCGTCTCTGCCGACAGCGCCGCAGCCGGTCACCGCAGGCGGCGCCAAGCTCGCCGACATCGCCGACATACCGTCACAGCGTCACGTTCCGTCGCCAGGCGACACCGGGCCAAGTCCGTCGCGTGCGCGCCTCGATCGTCTTGTGCGCCCCACCATCGGCGCGGCGGCCGGTGTGCGCGGTGCCCTGCCGCCGTCACGTGTTCGGTCCCCTCGGGCCCGGGCCGCGGCACGTCCGGCACTCACCTGTCTGCCACCAGGTATCGACGACGTCGCAGCGCTTATCGCCGACCACCTCGTGGTACCAGTGCCACGCCTCGTTGTTGAGCGGCTCGCCCACGCAGGCCAGCACGCGCAGCGACGAGCGGTCGTACCTGTAGCGGCGACGGCGGCGGCCCAGTCAGCGGCCACACAACCGGCCAACGGTTGTTGCGCGCACCTCCAGCACCGGAACACACATTCATACCTTAAATCGCTTTGCGACGAGCCATCGAGGTGAGGCGTTCCTTTAGGCGTGATGGCCTGAAGTTACTGTGCTGCGCAAAGATGAAACCAAGCACGACCCACTGTCCAAGAACGTGACAAAAGTATTTCGTTTTAGACAGAAAGTTGTGTTGGCGGCAGAACTGGAGGTATTTGGTTGGACTGAGTCTCGGAATCTCAAACAAAATTGACGCGGAGTCGTGCGGTACAACATCCCAGCAGCACTAACCCAGCTGCCAGCAGCACTAACCCAGTCGCCCAGTGGGAGGTAACAGCGGGCCGGATCTATTCAGGACACGGTCAACACGATTCCCGTGGCACATCTGTTGGGTCGATCACGATCAGGACACGTGTGGAGGTCCTCTGCGCCAGAAACCAGCCGGGCGACGGTGCTGCGTTCGGCGCCAGATGGCGCTCATGCGCAAGGGAAACGAGTGGGAGACGAGGGGAGGCGAGGGTTAGCGGAGGCGAAGCGGAGTCCAGCACGGCACTCACTTGGTGACCCAGCTGTCGCCGTGTTTCAGCAGCAGGCGGAGCGCGGTGGGAGCGCCGTAGAACTGCGTCGGCCGCAGCCGCTGCACCATCTCCCAGTACCGGCCTGACGGCAGGCGCGCACGTATCAACTGACTGGGAGGCCGCACTACACCCCAGTATCGGCTGGCGAGAGCACACGAACGCTCCGGCAGCGTCAGGAACAGCACCGTGGGGGTCTGGTGACGGGCTCGCACAGCATTACACGCTGCACAGTGGAGCTCTCCGGGTCACTAGTGGTGTCAGCTCTCACGCAACGCATGCACACGCGCTGGTAATAGAACTTGTCACTCCAGCGGCGCTGGAACGATCTGGCACGACCACACGACCAGCCCACTTCCGGGGCGCCTGTGCAACTCAACGCCGGCCATGTCATCAGGGTACGCCGCGGCAGGGGGTGGCGGAACGGTCGCCATCCATCACACGACCGTCACCGATGTCTGGGCGGCCGGACCGCTCCGCTCAGACGTCCGCTCAGCAGGCGTCCGCTCACGCTGCAGCGGCCAATGACCGCCCAATGCATCAGTCCAGCGCACATGGCTACCATCAGGCATCCATGACGCCGTGGGTCAGTCCGGAGGGGGGCGGCTCCAGCCGGCCGGGTCGTGACAGCAGCCACTCTGACCCTGCACGCAAGGCGGTCGCCGAGCGCAGCACACGCGAGCTCGAGCTCGAGCGCTCAGTGTATTGCAGATCTTAGCGATAAGCCGCCCGGCCAGTGGCCTCGCTCAATGTAAATACCGTGTCGGCTACACTGCACAGGCCTGGTATCTGCTACTCCGAACGCTTCGCTCAGACCGCCGTCGGTGGGCAGACCATACGCTATATTTGGGCACAATGTACAAGGCCCGCCAGCCTGGTAACAGATTCGCACACAGCTGGCCCTGCGTTCGGGTCAGCTGGTCTACTGGCCTAGGTCCGGTAGACGGGTCCGGGTAGACGGGCGTCTAGGCTGCGTCAGCCGGTGCACTGACCTGGGTCCGGGTGGACAGGCCTGTCCGTGCCGCGTCGGCCCGTCCACTGACCTGAGTCCGGGTAGACGGGTGTCCGGACCACGTCAGCCGGTCCACTGACCTGGGTCCGGGTAGACGGGTGTCCGGACCACGTCAGCCGGTCTGCTGACCTGGGTCCCGGTAGACGGGTGCATGGGCCGCATCGGCCCGTCCACTGACCTAGGTCAGGGTAGACGGGCTCGGGTAGACGGGCGTCCGGGCCAAGTCAGCCGGTCCAAGACGGGTGTCCATGCCGCGTCGGCCGGTCCACTGACCTGGGTCCGGGTAGACGGGCCCGTCCGTGCCGCGTCGGCCCGTCCACTGACCTGGGTCCGGGTAGACGGGCCCGTCCGTGCCGCGTCGGCCGGTCCACTGACCTGGGTCCGGGTAGACGGGCGTGCTCTCGAACATGATGGCCGTGCTGCCAGACGCCAGCGGGCCGTACACCACGTGACTGTGCCCCGTGATCCAGCCCACGTCGGCCACGCACGAGAACACGTCACCCGGCCGCAGGTCGAACGCGTGCTGAAACGAAACGCCACAGGTCAAGAACGTGCCGAAACAAGGACCTTGCCACGCGTGCGGAAACAAGGCACAGGTAAAAGGTGCCAGGAAAGTTCACAACTCAAGTGTGTTGAAGCAGGGTTCAGGTGAAGGGGGTGTTGAAAGGGAGCGAGCCGTATCAAACGTCTGTTAAACTAAGCCGCCAGGAGAGGAGAGGGCTTGTCAGAGGAATCATTCGTGTATGTTTGGAGGTCCAGATGCGTCGCGAACCCCCAAGTGGCATAACGCCTCAGCCAAGCGTGCAAAGATGCGGCAGAACTGTTTAGCAGGGCGAATCGCGAAATCGCGGCGTGTGCGCAGCGCGTCCACAGCGATTGGTAGAAACAGTTCCTCCGAGCAGGGCGCCCGCGGCCTCGCCGGCTCCAGCACCTGTCGTGTACACGCGGGTCCAGCGTCACACGTCAGGGTCTTAGCCCACATATCGCACGGGATCCCCAGTCACTGCTTACAGTAATGGTTCGTTGAAACGCTGGCAAACAGTGACATGTAAACAGACGGCCTATCGCGACGATGCATATGGAAATGTTTCACGATCTACAGCCACGCGAACCGTTCATCATCGAGACTCGACCAACTGCTGTGTGCGTGGAAAATTATCAAACGAAGGATCTTTTTGGTCTTTGGTGGGCGTGAACACCACAGTAGTGCTCACAAACAGAATCAGAACACAAAATGCGTGATGCGCGTGTTTGTGCCACAGAGGTGACGCCTTGCATGGCTTCGGTGTTGGCGGCTATAGACCTTCCCAGCGTACTCCAAAACAATGACTAAGCCCACAATGCGGCTAACGTAAAGAAGACAACCATTCCCGCAAGCCCAACGTGAACCCGTGTGAATGGACCGCCCTGTACACTGCGTCAGCCGTGTGAACTGCGTGCGCGTCCCCTCGGTCGCTGACATGAACTAAAAATGAAATGAAACGCATGTAACGCAGCACATGTCAACTGCTCGGCAGCCGTTGCCAACGCCGCTCACGTACACTCGACTTCAGGGGGGGGGGGGAGGGAGGGAGTGGTAGCCATGCTGTGCGCATATAAAAACGCACAGGCCAGGGGCAGGTGATCAGACGGCCGAGGCGGCTATCGTCCCGAGATACCGGCTGAATCGCAAATGGGCCGGCGCAATCTACAGAAACACGGCACCGCACTCGGCAAACGCAAATATAAGTAACAGTCCCACGCGGGCACCGCGTGTCATTTAGACGAGCACGCGCAGATGGCCCACAGCCCCGGCGGGGGGCAACACTGGGCCATATCCAGATGAACCCAATGATGGTGCTACCGAATCAATGTTCACTTGTTTTGTTTTGGTATTGCTTTTTTGCAGTTTTATAGTTTCATCTTTTTCACTGATTGAGATCCGACTACGCGTGCAGGATTGGGTGCTGCAAAACCACAAGTCCGTCAACTCAGTACGCTGAATTGCGTGAATGATTTCCGTCGGTGGCGTTCGAGCCGTCAGATACTACATGGCTGTATCAGTGCACGGCCCAGCCGGCCGTCGTAAACGTCAGCTCGATCCGGTCCAACTAGGGAGCACCGGCTGGGGAACCCGGCCGGTACCGAATTCAGCCCACGAGCCCGGCGACAGTGGTACCGACGCTAAAAACCGAGACAGATCATAGTTAGGTGGTATTGGTCTGTTGTGGTGGGCTTTGCGGTCCTGGTGGATGCGTGGACACGGTATTCCCACGAGGTCTACTCGCAGCCGACCTGGGAGTCAAGTGCCGTTTCCGCTTCTCAGGATACCGCCCGAGAGACGGCGCTCTTCTGGTGAGGGGACGCAGAGTCCCGCTCAGTAGAGTGCTCGGTGCGGCATCGACGTCCCCCCTCCCCCGCCCTCTCCCCTGCCACCGCTCTTCGATGTCCCCGCGCTTCCGTCACACACCCCGGTCACTGGCGGGGGGGACGCCAATCTCGCCTGTACCAACATGTCAACCGGCCGGCAGCGGCCACTGTGGCTAGCGACACGCTGGCTCCACGGCGTGATCGGCTCTGAATCCAACCGCCCCGCTGCACTGACTGTCATACAAACCCATGGATGTGAAGCCGCCTGCAGCAAAACCTGCCGTTTTTGAGCGCATCAAATTTCAATCGACATGCTGCAACTCATCGTAACGGACTTAATCATAACATATTTGGCATTAATCGGTAAAATCGCAATGTAGTCACTGAAGCATCTATACTGTGTAGCCGCCAAGCAGCTGCCCAACGGTCGGCCTCAAGCTCCGGAACCAGCGTGACCTGGCCATGCAGCCCCGTTCTCCTGCCGTCCCGCTGTGTGGGCGGCCCGCTCACCTTCTGTGTGAACATGCAGTACAGCAAGTAGCCGGCCACGCTGTGGGTGAGCCCCTTGGGCTTGCCAGTGCTGCCTGACGTGTAGAGCATGTAGAGGAAGTCCTCGGAGTCCATAGCGGCCGGTTCACACTCGGCCCGAGCCGCCTCCATCGCCTGGCCGGAGGGGACCAGTGAGGAGAAGACGGCCCAGGGGGTCCGCAGACACCTGGCCCGGGTCACCAGTCAGCAGTGGGGCGAGGTCACCAATTCGCGTCGGGCCAAGGTCACCACGTCAGTGGTCAAAACCGGGCTGGGGTCATCAGGTCACCAGTCAGCAACGGATCGAGGGTCACAAGGTTGCAAGCCGGTGTGCAACTGACACGATAGATCCATATTTGGGGTGAAGTGCAGAAGTTGGTGTGCATTTGGATCTTGGGAGGAAAAGAGCACTGAATATCTGAAACCTGGCTCTGAAAGAAAGGTAGTCCGCCATCCTGAAGAATAAACGTGCAAGTCCCATCTGCCGTTTTGAATTTCCGCACTAGACACGATCACACATACCATGATTCGTGTCCTCGCAATAGCACTACCATGAAGCTCGTTTCAAGCTGTAAAGTGAAGCTTTCAACGACTGGTCACCAAGAGTCATTTTTCTGTCTGGATCGGCATACCTAGCCCGCCGTGTTCGAGATGCGGCATCCATTTTAACTCACCACCACCGCAGCCAAGCGGCCGCCACTGCGTCACGGTCCGTGCACGCACCTTCTCCATCGGTATGTCGATGGCGCCCATGGGCACGTCGGCGCCCGTGCGAGTGGACACCAGCACGCGCTTGACGCCCGGACACTGGGCCACCGCGTCGTCGACGATCCTCTTGAGCTCGATCACCTTGCCGCCGCGTACGGCCTGGTCGCTGGTGATGATGGTCTCGGCTCCCGCTGCAGGGCGGCGGCGGCGTCCGGTGAGCATCGGGGGAGGGGGGGGGGGGGGGGGGCGCGGAGGCCGCTGGTGACGAGCTTTTGCCTACCAGATGTCTATGTGCATGGGATCCGGAGGGAGACAGGTGGAGGTGGTGTGTGCCTTTGGTCGCGCTTCATCCCTGCTGTGGGTTTCCATGTTACAGCTGGCTCACACACCAGCATGAAAAGGCTAAATCCATCGCATTCTTCTCTAAATACACACTTTGTTCTTAGTGAGGACGATTCAACGAATGATTCTTGCCCTGGCCACAGCACCCAGTCAAAACAAGCAAGACAAAGCACCATTCGAAAGCAACGCATCGCGCCGCAGCGGTGGCCCGCCGCCGCCAGGGGCGAGGCTGCCTGGCCGCGCCGCGCTCACCGTCCTGCACGCGGCTGGCCAGTGCCTGCGCGCTGAAGCCGGCGAACACCACCGAGTGGACGGCGCCGATGCGCGCGCACGCCAGCATGGCCACGGCCGCCGCCGGCGAGGTGGGCATGTAGATGGCCACGCGGTCGCCGCGGCGCACGCCGTGCTGGAGGAGCGCCGAGGCCAGCCGGCTGACCTGCTCGTACAGCTGGCGGTAGGTGACGCGCAGCTCGGTGCCCGGCTCATCTCGCTCCCAGATGAGCGCCGTCTGGTCGGGCACTGTGCGCATGTGCCGGTCCACGCAGTTGACTGTGGACAGGCGCGGTGTCACGCGTGTGCAGGATGAGTCACTGTGCCCCAGTGCACTTTATGCACAGTGAGGAAAGCATGAGACTGCCACCTGCCATACATTTGTAAGTGTAATTCAGATGATGTTGAACACTGAAACACTGCAAGATGTGTCATTGACCACGATCTGTGCATGTGACCTGTATTCATAGCTGGCACAGCCAACTGCACTAGTGCGGTATGTTGCATACCAAACAGATCAGTTATGGATGTCGCTAATCACCTTTGCTAGTCTACATGGTTGAGTGGAGAGTTGGGTGTGCCATAACCATAGACCCATAGAGTTCACCATTTCACTGTGGACTGAGGTGGACAGCTCCATGGCCAACATTTTACTGATGGCTGAGGTGAGTAGAGGGTAGTATATGCACTGGCAGGTGATGAGCCAGCAGACTGAAAGCAGCTTTGTCCATCCCTGTGGCTCAGTTGGTTTGAGCATCTGCCTTCTGATCAGCCCCCCCACTGCTAAAGGTCCCTTGATATTAAGTTGTCTTGCATAGGCTGCCCTAAAGGTCAGTTAACATTAAGCTTTCTCCACCAAATTTTGCCCTTGACATGGAATTGCGTGATTGGGTGGTGCGGGCCAGGGCTCACATAGCAAGCACTGCTTAGTATGATCTCTGATTCCTGAAATCCATCCCTTCAAAAGGTTTGAATAAGATTTGTTAAAAATTGACAATTCACATTTATTTGCAGCACACACTGTGATGCTTTCTGTATCCATAGAATATTGCAGACATTAGGTGGTAGAGCTGCAGCGGGTCTGTGTCAAACCTCATAAAGAAAGCCTATTTACTTGCCTGATGCATTGAGTTTTCCTCCTTCAAACCATGATATCTTCCCATTTGGAAGATCACAGTTTGAGACAGTGTGGAAAGGTTCAATCCACTCCAAATATGACTTGGCAATCTCACCCCAAAATTCTGTGGGCTGTGGAAGAGCAGTGTTACCTAATGCATCTAGGGCTGAAAAGCATTAAAATATTGGACCCTGATCAGCACTAACTATTCATGCATTATGACTTAATGGTTGATGAGATATGATTAACCATGTAATGTACAACATTGCGCCTTGGCCAGATTGCACATCACCTGCGGCCTTCCAATTTAGCATGTGGGCATGCGATATAGTGTGGATCACAACTTGAGGTCAATTTAAACAGAGAGCCTGGCAGGAAAAGAAGTACACATTGCCTGAACACATCTATTCATCACAAAATTGTGTCAAATGCATAAGCACAACCACAACATACATATGAAGGGCTGAGTTGAGTGCAAAGCCAATCCTATTTCTTTCAGAACACAGTACATGTACCATTTCACATAATGGTGCTTAACAATGACAATTTCAACTTACATTTTGTAGGCTAAATTCATACAGGTCTTTGTGCGTTTTAAGATGAGGATACTTTTCAGTGATCTCAGGCAAAGGCGTTGAGGCAGCTTCCCCTCTTCTTC